GGCAAAACAATTTTTTTTCTTTATTGATTTTAGAGAAAGAGGAAAGGAGAGGAAGAAAAGATAGCATCATCGATGAGAGAGAACATCAACTGGCCGCCTCCTGCATGCCTCCCACTGGGGATCAGGTCCACAACCTGGGCATGTGCCCTGACCGGGAATCGAACCAGCGACCTCTTGGTGCATGGGTCAATGCTCAACCACTGAGCCACACCAGCTGGGCGGTTCATGTCCTTCCTTTGTGACAGAGAGATTGTATCTCAGAGGATTACATGACACCAAATAGTGTAGAGATGCCTAACATAAGTAAAGGCAGTATTTCTGTTTCATACTTCCTTAAACATGTGGATAAAAATACAGAACCTCTTAGCAATTTTCCATGTTTCCCCCTACGTAATTCCCCACAACTTAGTTTCTACCCTCCAACTGACCAGGAGTGAGCTAGTCAGGGTTCTTCTGCCTTTCAAAGGCTTGATCGGGGTTCAAATACTTGACATTAAACCATCATCAAAGGAAATCGTCCCCATCTGCAGTCTGCCTTTGCTAGGCCGAGCGGCCTGCAGAGACTTCCCCAGGGACCTGGCATCAGGGAGTTGACCCAGCCTGACTGAGCCTGGCCTGGCTGGGAGGATTACAATGTTAAAACCACTCAACAGTCCCCTTGTTCATCCAAAGATACGGAAGTCCAAGCAGCAACTCACGGTCTCGCTGAGGTGAGATCTTTATTGTGAGCCCTGTTGCATCTTTTATTTTCTACTTGCCCAACATAAATCGATCCAAATAACAGAAGAATCACATGCACACGGATGTTCATATCTCATGCCCCACACACGTGTCACCAAAAGACCAAATTGTATGTTTACTGTCTTTATCTGTGGGCCTCAGAGCTCTAGAGAAGCTTCTACGTAGCAAGAGGAAATGGTCATTACGTTCATGTTTGGAATGTACCAACATTCAGAGGGTTCATCCTTGGGTCTGAGGCTTCAAGCAGAGGTGGGATAAAACAAGAGGCGACACTGTTTTTTACGACAGCCTGGCCTAAGCACATGCAATACATCAATTGACTGTTACCCAACTTCTATTTTTTTCTTCTTTTCCTGGTCACCAATCCCTCCCTTTCTCATCCCGATGGAAGCTCCTCCCCCCACCCCATGCTCGGCTACTTCATGAGGTGAGGATGCATGAAAATCATTTACAACTTTTCAGACACGTCTCCCAGAAATAGTCACTTGTCCTCTCCTGGTGTGACCAGCGGTCACCACAATGAGTCATCTGTTGGGCTTTCATCCACAACGGCCCCAAATAACAGCAATTCCAGGGCCGTGACTTTACACTTTCCATTTTTATTAAACTCTCACTTTCGCCCTGGCAGGTTTGGCTCAGCGGTTGGAGTGTCAACCTGTGGACCAGAGAGTCCTGGGTTCAGTTCCCGCTAGGGGCACATACCAAAAAACAAACAAACAAACAAAAAACCTCTCTCTTCCCTCAAACCTGATTATCTTAATGCTAATTTCATGCTTGGCCTTTGAGTTTGTGCTAATTTGCAAATCTTTTCCAAACTGCTCTCTTAAATCAGTGCAGGAGGAATGTATCAACTGTCACACATGCAATTCCTTGAGTCAGGAAAACAGACTCTTTCCCCACAGAGCGTTTCTGGAGACAGTGGGATGGAAGGGATCCTCTTTACAAAATAATAGTTAGGGGCAAAGAACTAAATGATGCATTTCAATCATGCACACACAGACAGAATATGGTTAGAAGCACCTATTTTTATAGAATTTTTGTTTATATAAAAATATGATTTCCCAGAGATCCTATCCATACACAGATCTAAGAAACAAAGGAACTAAAATCCAAAGATCAAAAATCTCTTTTGGATTGTGGATGGTTAGTAGACGTGTAGAGACTCCCAGTGTCACCATTCTCGTCGTCTGTTATGACACGCACCTGCAGCTCTGGCCTCACGTCGGTCCCTTATTCAGTGTTTCATCCACTTCAGGTGAGCATCGTGCGAAGTCCACACATGCAGATCCACACCTGCACATGTCTTTATTATTATTGCTAAGTGCTCGTTTCCCCCTTCCTCTGTCTTTTTCTGACGAGTCTCCCCCACTTCTCTTGAGGCATACTGCTAGTTTGAGGGAACGGATGCTCAGCTCAACAGATCTGCTCACACGTCTCCCTAGTTCCTCCCAGCCAGTGGTTAGTACTTATACCGTTTCTGGACCCTCTGCCGCTTCAAAAGTGCCTCATATGCATCAACATGCCTTCACACAAGACTCAGCAGAGCTCACGCCGTGCTCCATCGGTCTCGGAAACCTCGCAGATGTCTGCACTGCAGCCTCCGAACAGAAAAGCCAAACACTTGAAGTAGTGTCCGCCTTTCAGATTGAGCAAGTTTGTAATCAGTTATTCCCCATGAAGAAATTTTAGTCATCACCTTTCTCTATTAAACAAAAAGAGCCTAAAATACTATATAGATACATTTAAGAACTTCCCATTAATAGGACTTTATCAATAAAAACATACTGCTCCTAAGCAGAAGAAACCATTTAAAAAAGGAATAGCTTGAATTAAATAGACCTCTCTGCACTCAGTGGGGAACCATCTACCTACATCACAATTCCAAAGGAAATAAAACAAAAATTAAACCTCCAGGGGCCTAGCTGGTCCTCCAGGGGCATTATGGCCTCACGTTTTTCTGACCAGGCATCTCTTTCCTGTTCCTCTCCTGATTTCTATTGACTTGGGACTCACCCAACCACCGAGACACAACTAACGCCTCCCTCCTCCAGGCAGAAGCAATTTCTGGTCCTCACTGGGCTCCTTCCTTTAACTCCGTAGCATTTAAACCCCTGCCTTCCAATTCCAGCTGAGTACTGATCTCTGTTATATGCACACAGCCTTGTCTCCACACTAGAGCAGGGCCTTACTTCCCCTGTATTACCCTAATTTCTACCCCAGCATCTTCCCATAATATTGACTTCACGGAGCTTTGGGAAAGGACACAAGCTGTCACCCACCCCACCTCATACCTGTGTGAGCTAGCCCTCTCTGACTCGAGGCTCATTTAATACAAAAACCGCAAATAAACAAACAGAATTGAAATAAACAGAATTGATCTGGCCCTCAGTTCAAGGTCTTGCACCTTTATTGATTGTGGTGTGAAATGATGAACATGAAACAGCGCTGCCCCATCGTTGTGAAGCGTGGGCTTCCCACTGGGAACGGAGTGGCCTCGCCTCTCCTCATGACCAAGTCCAGAGAATGTGCGGTGAAGGAGTTCTGTGACTTTTTAACCCGAGCAGTGTGCCCCTCCCTGTCCTCCAACGCTTGGGTGACAGTGTCCGCTCCGCAGCATTGATTACAATGTGTGCTCACCTGGTATACGCTGTGCCAGCCCCGGACTCGAACATGCATGGGCACTCGGAAGCAGTGAGTTACCGCACGCCCCCAGCTTCCTGAGCGCAGAAGTCTGGTTGGCTTCATCTTTCCCCCAAGCAGACTCTTGGCATCCCCACTGCTCTCTTTGCCAAGTATGGACAACAAATACTGCCTTTGACACTAAAATTGTGTCCTTTAGGACACATACAGTAGTCCCCCTTCATCCATGGGGAGACATTCCAAGACCCCCAGAGGATGCCTGAAACTGTGTGGATAGTACAGCACCCTGTTTTTTTTTTTTTTTAACAGTAAGAGATTAACAATAATACAGTAACACACTGTACTAAACATTACGTGAATGTGGGCTCCCTCCGAAAACTAAGATGTCTGAGTGACTATAGGTGGGTAGTGTATACAGCGTGGCTACACTGGACAAAGTAATGATTCATGTCCTGGCTGGGATGGAGTGGGACCGCATGAGATATCATCACGGTGCTCGGAACAGAGCGTAGTTTAAAACTATCTCTTTGCTTATTCCATAAGTAACTGAAACCGTGGGTAAGTCGGCTTACTGTAGGGGTGGTTTACTCAGGGCTAGGGACAGACCACACGGGTCTCTTCCCCAGCCCTCTGTGCACAGAGGGCTGCAGTCTTAGCGGTTCATAATGGGCTTCTAAAGCGAAGGGCATACGGCTTTGAAATGAGAAAGATCTGGGGTCATACTTAGTGCGCCATTTGCTAGGTAGGTAATCTTGAGCAAGTTACATTTCTGTTCTCCGGTCAGCCAAACGGGAATACTACCACCTCCCTCAACAGGGTTGCGAACATCACAATATACATAAAGCCCCTGGCTTATTGCTTCAATAGAGCAGATACTCAATAAATGTTAGTTACTATCTTTATTATTCAAGAGTTTAAACTGGACAGAGTCCATGATTTTTAATTCTGTTATAGTCCTCTCAGAAGAGTCTTCCAGGACTAGAGTTAGATATATTTATCGTGTGAGGACGTTAAATGTCTGTGGAGGTTACTTAGTGGGTAGAAAAGGTTAGAGCATTGAGGTGGGACAGTGATACCCTGCCTCCATTCCCGTACCGCCCCAGCTCCCGTCCTTCCACCACTAAATGTATGTGCCCGTTTGTCCATGATGAAGATGCCTGTGGTCTTCAAGGTTTTCAAAAACTTAAGAATGGGAAAGCGAGGCCTCAGAGAACTATATGTCCCCCCAAAATGTATGCACACTTAACAGCTGATGGTTAAGTTGATGTTTCTTTTCAGATTCGAACTCACTGGAATTTATAATTATTCCAAGTGTGTATACATTTTCTTGGGACATCCTATATATTCCACTAGAAAAGAAAAGGAAGAGAGAGATGGGTAACTGCTACTTTTGTTGTTTTTTATCCTCACCTGAAGACTTGCTTAGAGGGGACGCGATGGAGGGACGGAGAAAGGAGAGAGGGAGAGGGAGAGGGCGAGGGAGAGGGGGGGAGGGGGGGAGAGAGAGAGAGAGAGAGAGAGAGAGAGAGAGAGAGAGAGAGAGACATTGCTTGGTTGCCTTGTTTGCTGCTCACCGACTGGGGATCGAACCAGCAACCTAGCAACCTAGGTGTGTGCCCTGACTGGGAATCAAACAGGCAACCTTTTTGTGCATGGGACAATGCTCAACCGAGCCACTCTGGCTGGGCTGCTACATTTTCTTGTCCTTAGCAATATAGTGGCTTCCGTGTGCTGAGATCCCAGTCTGATGAGAAGAAATGACTCGAAGGTCATGGATGGACCTCACTGTCCACTGCGAAAGCTCCTGAAGCACCTTTAGGCCCCACAGCTTCTTTTCAAAGAGACCACCATCTCCAACAATAACGGGCATCCCATCAACCTCATTAGGGGGGATCTTGTGTTCCAGGAGCGCCATTAATTCCTCCAGCCGGTACGCAAAGGCAGCAACCTGGAGCAGAAGGGTGTGTATTGCTTGATGGAAGTTGCTGTCCGCTGGAGTAAAATGCACCCGTTGGTCTTCTAAAAGCCTGGCCAACATGGCGTGGAAGGTGCGATAAGCTTGGAGGTTCTCTTGGAGTCGCTCAGCCTCCGTCAGCTCACTCCACCGCCCAGTGCTTGCCACTGGCACCCCATGCACGGAATCCAGGTCTATGTTCTTGTTCAGGCCCTGATGCTTCACCTGGCCAAGGATACAGAAAACCATCACAGTCTCACTTACATACTCCCCAAATCTTACATAAGATCATATTCACTTCCCTGGTCATGGATCCAAGTTATAAAGAAAATAAAGCCTGGAACAGAAGCTCTGCATTTGGGGTCCATGATCCGACTTTTGAAAGACCCTATTGTCCTTGAAATTATACATGCTGCTTTGACTACCTGTTTTTCTTGGGAGAACCTGCAGCTTTCGTGAGGTTCAAAAGGTTGAAAACCACTGGTCTGGGGTAACTTTCCCTTCCCACTTAAAACTCCCTCCTAGAGTATTTTAATCATACTAAGTTTTAAGTATTTTAAACATACTTGAAGACACTGGCCACACCTAGGAAGCCCTAGAATGTAGCCACTGCAGAATTCTTCTAGTCATCCTTTCCTCCATTGCCCACTCCCAGTGGTGAGGACAATCCTTTGGAGAATTCAGTAGAAATAAGTTAAAAAACTGGTACTTCAGAGTCTGATTTTTGACTGGTAGGGTTGTGCAAAGACTCTCTCCACAGGATCTAGTTTCCACAGCAGGTCCTATGCAGAGACTGATAAGAATCTCCCACTGTCAGAAAACCAATCTGAAACCCATGGCTAATGCTTTAAGAATGTGACACTTGCCAGAGAATCTTCTAGGGGATCCTTTTGATAATGTAGGAGCTTTCTTTTTAGATCCAGAAACTTTTTTTCCCTTTTTATATTGATTTTAGAGAGGTTCCGAAAGGAAGGGAAATATCGATGTGAGACACATTGATCAGCTGCCTCCCATATGTGCCCCAACTGGGGATCAAACCCACAAACTAGGTATGTGCCCTGACGGGGAATTGAACCCGCAACCTTCTGGTACACCAGATGAACCAACCGAGTCATGTCAGTCAGGACACTCCAAAAACACTTCTAACATGTTTAATTAGAAACTGGGTGCTGATACTGTATGGAAGAAATTGGTTGGGTTTACACTGTTCTTTTCCCAATCCTATAAACCTTCATTCATATAGTTCAAAAATTCAGAACAAGGGATTCGAAGAACCCAACCTTAAAAGGGCTCATGGTTAATCTATTCTGGTTGAATTCAGATTGTAGGCAATCAAATTAGGAACAGCCTCCAAGACATATAGCCAATCCTACCTAGCAACCCATATGTTTTATTCAAGGAACACGTGTCTTTAAAACACCTAGAGAAAGAACATAGGCTCATGAGTTTCTTTAAAGGAAGGGCCCATGTCAAATGATATACGTGCCCAATATACAACTATGATTAGGGTTTTCATTATTGGTCGTGGGGCTGGAGCATGATGGTAAGGGGTTGGAGCAGAAAAGATGAAGTGAAAACAGACAACAGCAAAATAGGCAACTTACATAAGATTCCGTAAGAGCAGCCAGGTCTGAACGAATCTTCCTTGCTAGCCAGATAGAGTGGCTACAGAGGTCCCGGCGGTGAGGGGTTGGCGGTGAGTGTTCTGCAAAAGCCATCCCCTAACTCTACTGTCCCAGAAAACAAGTGAGCCGAGTTTGTTTCTGTCTACACTGTTCCAAATGAGAAATGTGACTCTCACACTAAATCCACTGGGCATTCTCTAATGGAATGGTGCACCCCACCCCCACCCCTGCCTGACTCAGAGGTGGCAGCAAATTCCTGGCTGTGGATTTTTGTGCCTGTGGAATCAAAGGCCCCTTTTACTCAGCGTTTTTTCTCCTGCATCTCTCTCCTCCACTGAGTGCTTAGCCTACTTGTTTTTATGTCATTGTTTTGCTTTTGCACTTAGCAACAAGGTCACTATCACACTAATCTTCATGACACCCCTGCCTAATGTAATCTATTTTATATACACATGTAATTATTTCATTTTATTACCACCCTCCCTTGTGCTCCCATGTCCCTTTCTTTTTTTTTGGCCTGGGCAAGTATTCAATAGTATTACATTATTATTGATATAGCTGCCATTGATTAAGCACCTACCCTGGGCCAACCCTGTGCTCAAGGCTTTAAAGACTGTATTTGATCTTCAGAATAATTGCATGAGATAATTATTTCCTTCATCTTACATAAAAAAAAAAAAAATCAAGGCTTAAAGAAATCAATGTGCACAAAATCCAATAACTAGGCTCAAAATTTCAATATTCAAGTCTTTGATTCTACAGCTGTTTCTCCCATTGACTTGCCAATTTTCATTGTCTAGGTAGTTCACATTTTGTTCAAGAAACAAAGTTTATGTGAAAAATGTTCTTTAAAAATATAGCTTATTTTACTCCCACCTTTTGCTATGTACTTAAAGTTAGTTTAATTTACCTTTATTACAAATCAGCTAAGAAAGCATCTCTGATCTCAATCATGGTGCCTTCCTCATAGCTATAGGATGAGGAAGGTACTGTTTAGGCCTGTTCTTTTCCAAAGGACAGGAAACACCCAACTCTGACGTGGTAACATTACTAAAGCAGTTTCACTCAAGTGACAACATGTTTTTCTTTTTCTTCCTTATCACAGTTATACCATATGCTTCTTAACAAAATGAGAAGATGGTTTGGGCTTTGAAATGAAGGCAAGAATTTAAAAGCATTTGCAGAGTTGCTCCTCTATTGCATTTAGCTCAGTGGGTTAGTGATGGTGCTAATTGGTAGAGGTTGCAAGTTTCAACTTCAGATGAATCAATTAGCTTTCACCATTTCCTTCCACAGATATTGCCTCTAAATTGAAACATGCTTTCTCAGAGGCCAATCCACAGGTAAACAAAGGAGAAATAAAAGGGAGAAAGAAATGAGACCTGTGTGGCTGTCACAGAAGGCCTTTTAAGAAGGCAAAAAGATTCTATTTTTTTCCCTTATCGTACTTTGCCAACTGATCACAGGATCATATGGCATCTCAGCATTAGAAATAAAGAACTAAACAGAGTCAAAAGTTAACCACCTGATTCTCCACAAGAGCAAACAGTATCTGCCACATAAACCTGCTCTGAGGGCACCTGGTTTTCTTCTTCAGCAGCATCAACTGCTTTGCCCTAGGACAACTGTAACTTAGTACAACCAAGGAAGACCAGTTGCTTCCATGAAGACTTTTATTTTTCTTCTTTACATATTTATTTTGGATATGCCTTACCTAGATTAAGAGAAAACAAGAATTTGAAAAGCAGAGTATCCCTTTTATTATAATTTCTTTTTACATAACTTTTTCAACCTAGATTCAGGTAACTACCTGACTCTCCCATCAAAGGAGAAGGGTCCTGCACATTACAATAAGCAAAAAGGCTTTTAGGAAATAAAATATTTTAAATTGATCCATTACAATTTTTCAGTTTTCTTGAGTACATTGGAAAGTGGGAAAAAGGAGAGAAAAATGGCATTTCAAACAACTAGACTGTAATAACCTGTTTTAATACACACTTTATATTTTTTCTCCAAACAGGTACAAAGGAGGTTCAAGTGCTCTATGTGGATGCCTTTCCATACCTTAATATATATATTTACTACTCCCAGTAATCCTGGCCAGTGTTTATCTAAACTCTCTGAAGCATATTAAGTCTCAATTATGCAAAATAACCCAGGGCAATCAAACAAAGGGGAAGCACAGAAATAATGCTTGTATCTCAGCTACAATTTCAGAACCCAGAATTGCCAATTCAAGATGGAGAATATGCAGTGGGGAAAAAAGGTAGTAGAATTTGACTAAAAGTAGAAAATGCAGAATTTTAAGATTCAAAGAGCTCCTTGGAAGGACAATGAAGTAAACAGCATGAGGAGCAGAAAGGAAAAAGGGAAGAGGGGCAGTATAAGTTGGTTACTCACACCAACTCTTTCCTGTGCTAGCAGTCCCACCTCAAAAGGAAAAAGACAAATTCATGAAAAAGACTTAAAAATTTATTGCAAACTGCTATAATAATTTATTGAAGCAATTTGTAGGCAAATGGTAGCTATGAAGAGGATTCGAAAAGGGAGAAAGAACAACTTTAATTACTAGAACTTTGGCAGGGAGAGGAGTGTGAGATAGGGAAGAACACATTTCCTTCTATCTCATAAAGTTTTGTTTTTTTAAATGCAGTTTGCTTTTGTGTACATGGCTAAAATATCTGATTACTAACTACCAAAAAATGTAATTTATTGGCATAAAGGATAAAATAATGTGACAAAGACAAAGGTAAATGTGGGGAATAGATGCTAGCTAGTGAAACAGTACAAAATAGACTTAGATGGGGGGGGCAACTTTGTTGTCGACCCACCCAATCAGTCATATACTTTCAAATCTAAAACATACCAAAGTCAGCTCCAAATCCTTGCTGTGGGCAGGAAACATATTCTACGTCCCTTACATCCTTTTCCCACTTTATACCCCCACACTGGAGGGACGGCAAGTCTGCCACTCCAAAGAGAAACAATAGTGCATTTAAGACCGCGCACTGTAGGTGTCTCACTCCCCACTCCCTGGCATCCCAGCCACTGGCACTAGTGGGTGTCAAGTAAGACTCTTTCAGAGATGACATTTTGTTACCCTCTGCTTAGGAAAAAAATAAATCAAAGAGAAAATTGATAAACTTTGTAGTTTTAGTGTTTGTGAAAAACAAGCTGTTCCTTATTTTGTTCTGAGCAAAACTTCATTCTTTCCAACAGCCATCGCACATTTCTGACAAACAATGCATAGGGCAAGCCTTGAATTCCAGCTTCTGAGGTGCATAGGAGGACAGAAATTGCCCTTTTAATTCCCTAAAAATGAGCCAAAATAGGTTTTCATTTTCTGGGAATTATGAACCTACACAAAAACACTACCTGTCTCTCCCATGGACAGTAACAAGCAATCCACCCCATGAAAATCACCATCTCGAGGGAAGTGTAATTCCCAGGATTTCAGGTGGAAGCCACAGCTATTATTACATTATTAATTTTGTCTACGCAAGCCTTTCCTCTTCTGAAGTGTTATTAAAAGGAAACAAAACAGGGCAATTTTCTTTAACTTAAAACTGTACAACTCCTAGACTATTCCTTCACTAATGGCAGTGTCCATCACTAATTGGGAGCTGGAATGAACCAATGATAAAGCAAAGCAAAAACAAAAACAAAGCAAGAGGCCAGAGCTGGGCCAACAGGGAAATATGAGTAAAGAAATGATGGGGACAAAATAAAAACAAAAAACAAATTCACAAGAGAAAATCTTGTATCTGTAATTCAGACTCTGAACAACCTTCCTCATCCCCTCAAAATTCCTAAATCTCAATGCTCTAAAAACTCACAGAGCACTAATTGCCACAAATTTAACATTCTTCCCTAAAAAGGCTCCTGGAAAAGCACTAAGCTACTGTAGTGATTTCATTAGTGCTGAGGACCAGCTTAAAGGCCACTGGAGAGCTATGATTTCAGAGGCTGGCTGTGCTTCTTCAACCCTATATCTTGCCTTTAAAAGTACCTCTTATGGAAAGGACCCCATGCCAGAATAATCTAATCTCTCCCAGCCCCACAAAATATAGCAACAAAGACAAAACAAAAAAAAATTCAAAAAAAAAAAAATCAGACTTTCCGTTAATAAATAAGGAATCTCAGGTTCCACAACACAAAAACACACATGTTCAAAGTGCAAATTTCTGCCATTAAACTGGGACTTTTCTGTCTCACTGATACACAGCCCTGTCTGATGGTCAAAAAGACCATGTAAAGGGCAGCCCCCTCCCTATTGGGAGCCTGCTTCCAAGCAAGTGAGCACCACTGAGAACCATATGAAGGTGTTGGGAGGAGGATGAGGTGCTGGGGTCAACGTGGTCCCCATGTATCCCTCCTTTCTGAAACCCGGTGAGGAATGGAGGACAGGGGGTGAGAGATGTGTGCTGTTTTAACAGCTCACCCTACTAAGGGGCCCTAAAGTGCCAAGTCAAGCTGTCAGCCTCCAGAGATTAGAAATATGTTACTTTGAGGGTACGTGTGCTGCAGTGGGTAGAAGCCAGACCACAGGGCAGCAGTAGAGGAGGAGAAGGAATTTAGAGGACAGTGTGTACTACTAAGAGTTATAAGCTGATTTGGAGCATATAAGAATGACAGGTTGGAAAAGGGGATCTGCTAATAGCAGGAGGTCTGCCTGACTGGAACTGAGCATGAGGACAACACTCACTCTAAGAGCTTCTTATTTTTTGTCTACCTTTCTGGTAAAGGCAACATCAATTTTATAAGGGGGACAGGAGAGGGAGATGTGAGGGTGGGTGTAAGTGTGTGTGTGTGCTGTGATCCACATTGGAAAGAGCAGGCCCTTCAGTTAATTTACTAGATCTTAAATGCTTTAAATTTTTTTTGTCCTTTTTATCTTTTAAGTACAAAGTCTGAGCTGTCCCAGTGCCTAAAGTCTTCCCTTCTACTAAGGTCCAGTAGAGTCTGAATCTTCAATCAGAACCTCTGTGGTAGCACCGAGTATATCCGAGTTCATGACCAGCCCTTCAGTGCCCCCACTGCTGCCGCTTCCCACAAAGATCTTCCCATCAGCCATCAGGCTCACCCGTTCTGTCCCACTACAGTATGACTTTGACATCCCTTCAGCCTCTAGCAGGAGGCACTCTCCAGAGGTGGAGTTTCCCAAGGGCTCAGGAAGAAGAGGAAGACCCTGACCATCTGCAGGTTGTGTCAGAGACTCTGGGTTAGTGCCCAAGATATCTGTGCTGGTGATGAGGGCGCCTGCATTGGCAGCCAGAGCTTCGGCAATCAGCACCTCAGGGTGGCTCTTGGCTTTGTGTGCCACTACGCTGTCCTTCTTCTCAAATTTTTTGCCACAGATATTGCAAGAGAACTGGTAGAAGGAGTCTGCATCATGCTTCTTCATGTGCCAATTAAGGGATGCCTTTTGCCGACAAGTAAATCCACAGATCTCGCATCTAAGGAGAGTGGAAGAGAAAATGGCTGATCAGATACAGAAATAAAGAGAATTCTTATTCAAGTCAGGGTGAGAATTTAGAGGTCACATACATAAGCAATGGCTAGTAACATATACTTCTTGTGAAAGACTAGAAAAAGTTACCAGCTAGAACACTAATCTGATTTCTTTTCTTCTATGTGTTTAAAAGACAGAAGAAATAGAAGAAAAAGTTCACTAACTAGGTTCCCCCCAACAACACCCACTCTAATTTAGTAAAAGTAAAGGATGATAGTGGCAGATGAAATGTCTATAAAGGAGCTAACTTTCAAATGTGGAAAATGTACTTCTCACCCAGATGTTTATCAATAAATGAATACTCACTGTAATGGCTTCTCGCCTGTATGAATCATCCGGTGCACTGCCAGATTGTGGGAACTCTTGAAGGCCCGAGCACAATATTCACAGATGTAATCCCTTTGATCTAAGAAGAAAAATAATGTTCCATTAAAAAACCCTTTAAGTATTTTTTTCCCTAGTTTACAGTGAGTAAGTAGATGATTGGGCAGGTCAATTTAGAGTAAAAGCAACACTGTTTTCAATGTATAAACACTAGATAAACAAAAATTTAAAAAGAAATTATACAGTTTTGCTTTGTTCTTTAACTCCATCCATTCAGTAGCATAAGGACCTATTTATTTATACATTTTTAGAATTTGAGAGGCAAAGCCTTTTTTTATTTTTAATCCTCGACCGAGGACTTTTTTTTGTTTTGTTTTTTGTTCAGAGAGAGTGGGAGGGAGAGAGAAGAAGAGAGGGAGAAAAACATCGATGTGAAAGGGACACATCAAGTGGCTGCTACCCGCACGACCCAACCAGGGCTGGGGACAAACTGCAAACAAGTTACGTGCCCTTAGCGGGAACCAAACCTGGGTCTCTCTGGACCACAGGTCGACGCTCTAACCGCTCAGCCAAATGGGCCAGGGCTGTTTTTGTTTTTTAAATTGATTTTAAAGAGGAACAGAGAGAGAGAGAGAGAGCGCGTGCGAGAAACATCAATCAGCTGCCTCCTGCACATCCCACATTGGGGATCAAGCCTACAACCTGGGCATGTGCCCTGACTGGGAATTGAACCAGTGACCTCTTGGTGGATGGGTTGATGCTCAACCAACTGAGCCACACTGGCCAAGTGAGGATCTATTTAAAAAACACCTAGATAGAAATATATGAGCACTAAAATCCTAATGTTAATTTTACCAGCAATCCAGATATTGGATAAATACCTTGGCAAGTAAACAAGCACATTTTTCATGTATTTCATTTTCTACAAATGTTACCCAAGCCAAACAATTTATACTTCTCTCAAAAGATTCAAGTTGCTTCTATCAGATATATAGCACAGTACCTATATTTACCTTCTTCTCCTACCCCACATCATCTGCACATTCAACTACCTCCCTATGTCATTTCACAACCCCCTCAAATTTCACAGGATTTTTTATGAATTTGGTGACATGGTGGGGAATCTAAGTGGCAAAAGAGCATTGTATTTAATTATTTCTTCATCACTTGGTTCACAAGAGAGTGCACAAACAGATGCTTAATATCATTTGTTGAATGAATGACCACAATATTTTCTATGACTTTCACTTAAAATGACTACAAATAGAGTGAAAACACAAGGATAAGTTAAAAGGCAAACAATAACAAAATTAACCATATATTCTATCCCAAACAGTTTTAAAACTAAGTATGGGAGAAGAGCCAAGTTTTTCTCAAGTGTGAAGGTACTCGGAAACCTCTTGGGAATCTTATTAAATGCAGGTGCCGATTCGGCAGGTCTGAGATTCTGTATCTCTAACAAGAGCTCAAGTGATGCTAATGCCCATCAGTCTATTTTCTACAGGATGAGAAGATCTAAAAATGCACAGTTCTAACCTAGACCCGGCTGGTTTGGTTCAGCGGTTAAAGCATCAGCCTGCGGACCAGAGAGTCCTGGGTTCGGTTCCCGCTAGGGTATGTATCAAAAACAAAAACAAAAACAAAAAAAATGCTAACCTAAAGACAACTCTTAGTACCTCCCAGGTCTTGTCCACTTTTCTAGCTCCACAGTGGCATGGCAAACTGAAGAGGGTATCCACTGGCTTAAATAAATAAATTTTCAAAGTGAGTCCATGTATACTAATTTGGAAAAGGAAAACTCTCTACACTAACATCGTAAAATTGTATTAACCAAATATAAATATTTGGAATGAATTGAATTTCTAAACATTTGTCATAGCAGGCTCGTGATATTTAGCTAAAATAGTCTAAATTGGATATCAGAGAGAACTTCTGTGTGGGAAAAAGAGTCTAACAGGAAGAAGGAGCAGAGAAATGGCAGCACCTAGCAAGAAACAGAGGGCAGAGAGCACTCTCTGAAGAAACATAGCATAATGCAAAGACTGTAGACTCTGGAATGATGAGATCTAAGTTCAAACCCTGGTGTTTTTTGAAAGTTTACCATGTGCCAGGCCCCATGCGATAAATAACAAATTATGCTATCTCATTTCATCTTTATAATCAAGTGTCTGGCACGTACTAGATTAGCACTAATATCCAGTCCAAATTGTTCCTATTAGCTACACTGCACTGAGTTTGTCAATGGCTAAAAATGAATGGAATTTGAATCCACTCTGTATCTTGTATTATTAAAGCATTCCGTTTCTCTTTTTCACTAAGTATCTCCTAGAGGAGGTTACATGTGAATTTAGCAGCTGGCCTTTGTGATTTCAACAGCAGCAGAAGTCCCAGGAGTCATTTAGTATTTACCATAAACCATAAGCAAACTTCTTTACCATTTAGGTCTTTTCTTCATACTCCTCACTTTTAATCTACAAGCATCTACCTGAAACAGAATTAGAAAATCTTGGTTTTGCCAAACTCTAGCTGCACCTCTGGTATTTTGGCTGTAAAACAAGACCAATACAGCAAACTTGGTGGTGCTGAATGGATGGACTAGCCATAATAGTGTTCAGTACACTCACACACAACATGTGCTCAATAAAAGATCATTATCCAGGTCATAAAAGTTATTCTCAAAGAAATCAAAGAAAAAAATTTAAAAGCCCTGGGTTTGTACACCCCTTGTAAAATTTATGTCATTAAATTTTGCTTTCCCACCTTTCTTATACTTGACTGTAGACTCTTTTAAGATTTATTTTAAATATATATACATATCACCACTGGTCTACACTTAAAAGTACAGTGTATTTATCTACTTGATAAAGCATTTTATTTTGAAAGTACCTGTATGATGTTTGGCATGTCGCAGAAGTTGCTTCTGGAGTCTGAACAGTCGCCCGCAGGAGGGATGAGGACATACGTATTTCTTCTTCAGCAAATGCTGATATTTAATGTGGTGCTAAAAAAGTAAAAGAAAGTGAAGAGGGATAAAAATTAAGGCTTCCTAGACATCTGTTTCTTTGCTAAGTCAAAAATGCTGAAGAAAAATCAAATATTCTGTGTATGGATAGAAAGGCAGTATAATCAAACAGTTAACAACAAAGGCTATGGAAATAAACTTGGATTCCAATCTGGGCCTGTCATTTATTGGCAGCATGATCTCAGGAGATATGTACTTCAGTACTGTAAGCTCCAGTTCTCATCTACAGAATGGAGATCACCTAACTGACTCATTGTTGTGAGGAACTAGGGATCATGCACTAAACTATATTGTGTACAGTGCTTAGTGCAGCAAACAGCATATGGCACAATAATACTAGCTATCATTATTGTAACAAAATCAGAATCAGAAGTAAAGCCTGAATCTCATGTTATACTTGCTGCTAAACCAAATATCAAACAGGCACTAAACTTTAATAATTACTATTTCACTTTCATGTTTTCTGTGAGACCTAAACATAAGCTGTCTCTTCACTCATATTTTAAGAAATCTTACTCACTTTTTAAAAACTCTACAAACTAATTAGTTTTAATTTATTTTAAACGGTATTCAGGAAATCACTGTTTTGAGTTACAAATTTTATTTTAATACACATTAAAATAAAATCTGTTCATCTGTGTCTTGGTGTGTTGTTATAATCATACCATATCAAAAGTATTTATATCACAATGGGAAACACTAAAATTTTCTAAGATTCCAAGGAAATCCTCTGTTTGAGCTCAGGTTCTTAGACACTTTTCTTTATTTTCAAACCAAGGACTGAAGTAATTTTATGTTTAAAGAAAGCTTTTTCTTGACATTGCATGTCAATGATAAAGCCTACACAAATCCACACATTATAAAGTCCCATGAAGCTTCAGAACCAGTAACGGTACATAACCTGAAAGGCTGTCGTCTTACACTACAACGTCACTGACCTGCAAGTAGCGAGGGTGAGCAAGAACGGTTCCGCATCCTTCCATTTCACAACGCACGTACTGGATTGGAGGTTTTTTCCTAAATCAGCATGTAGGAGAAAAGTTAGTAACAGAAAAGACTGCCCAGTGACCTTTAACTCAAACTGCACTATTAGGGAATAGCAACTTTAGACTATGATATAGTTTGATAATAAACAACACAAAATAAACTAGTAACCCCCCAAAAGCCAAAGAAGTATTAAGATTTTTATTTTATTTTTATTTTATTTTTTATTTTTGGTATATGCCCCTAGTGGGAATCAAACCCGGGACTCTCTGGTCCACAGGCTGACGCTCCAACCACTGAGCCAAACTGGCCAGGGCAGTATTAAGATTTTTAGAAAGGTTAAGACACTGCAGTAGAAATAAAAACGTAGTAACTCTGCATCAAGGACATTAATCAAGTTGCTTTTGCCCATTCCTGCAGGATTATTATGATAACCATATGTGCCTACCACGAGAAACAAGGTACAACATAGAAGTATAAATTCTCACCTCCTTTTGGGTAATCGTGGACTTTTGTCATCTTTTCGTCTTCTTCCTCTCCTATAATTAAAAAACAGAGTAAATTGTCCACATATTCTGAATTGAGGTTTACTGAGTGAAGGATAGCTGAAGACATATATACTCCAGACCAAGGAGCAGGTGGCAGAAATAAAGGCTAACCGAGAATATAGTCACAGATATATCTGGCAAACCAAACCAAGATTTCACTCCAAAGTAATTTTACTGTCAAATAAGTCTGCATCACAAGTTAAATATATGCTATTCATAAACTATATAGTACGACAGGAGATTTGGATAAACTACAAGATTACCACTTTAAAAATTGTTTTCAGTGAAAAGTCTACCACTTAAATCTTGTCAATTTAAAAAGAATAAAAGAGTCTATTATCTAAAAAACTCTAAAATACAAACTATAGTTTCCTTGCAAAAGAACCAGAAAGCCTACACTTAAAAAATCTTATTACTGCAACAAGAAATGGTTGCTAGACAGAAAGTTTTAACCTGATCAAGGTTATTACGTTATTTGCCTGATATGCCCTTTTGAAGATCCACATTTGCCAGTTTTTCTTGCTGTTCTACTCCTTCAGCATCTCTGTCTAACTCATTCATTTGTATTTCTTTTTTAAAATTTTGATTTTATGTGTTTATTTTCAGGTAGAGAGAGAAGGAGAGACAGAGAGAGAGAGAGAGACATCGACTGGTTGCCTCCCAAACGACCCTGATCAGGGCTGGGGATGAACCGCAACTGAGGTATGTGCCCTTGACTGGAATCAAACTCGGGCCTTGTTGGTCCGTGGGCCAATGCTCTACTGCTGAGCCAACCCGGCCAGGGCTCATTTGTATTTCTTTAAGTACTGCCTTGAATTACACTTTTCAAGTTTTTGAGAAAAGTCTCTGCAATACAACTAACTGTCAGCTGCTTGAAGCAACAAAACAGGATGTGGCAAAAGTAGATTTATAGTTGTGAGTACATGAAACACTTTATTCTTGCATTACTGTTTATTAATTATTGTATTATTTTCCATATGAACTGCAAACCTACTTTTGCCCTACCCTGTTTGTATAAGTCAACATCCCTCTTCACACTCCCACCTTTTTTCCACTAGTGGCTTCAAAGTGTTAAGTTTCCATTTTTTAGTAGTATTTGCCCACTTACTTCCTAGGAGGTTCTTCATCTTCCCTAATTTCATTCTCTTCTTCTTTCACCTCTACCTCGACTTCCACTTTAATTTCTTTCTTCTCTTTCTCTTCTTTCACCTTGCCTGATTTTCTCCGTGGCTTTGGAGTTTCCCTGAAAACATGAATACATTTCAACATTGGTATCTCGAGCAAAGCAGCCTTTCAAAGAAAATATAATAACAAGGTAAAGCCTGAGGTTATCATTGATTTAATGTAAAACAATGATCCTTAGCTCATGAAATGAAATTTCCAGTTAACCATTCCTCATATGCACAGTAATGACAAATATTTCAAGCCTATGAGTTGAGTCCCCCCACCCCCACCCCAAGCTAATGATGCCCTAAAATCAAATCTATAGTTGTAAGGAGAAACAAGATAAAAGTAGAAAATTCCAAGTATTCAGGCAATTCATGATACCTGGTTATGATAACACATATAGACATCATAATAATATGGATATGATCAAAGTAAAGTTCTATAATGGAAGAGAGGGCTATACGAGGGGTAATAAGAATGTTAGACTTGCAAAATAAGTGCACAATTATCCATTTAAAATTAAATCTATACCCAACCCATTAGTTTGGCAAAAACATGCTTTCTAAACTTACTTTCCACTGACATGTCTGGAGTAAAATGAGACATACCTTTCTAAGTGGGGTTTGTAGGTCTCATCTCTTGGGTCATCTTTGAATGGTATTTCCTCTTCACTGATTAACATCTCTTCTTCCTCCTCCTCCTCATCACTACTAATAAGAAGCAAATAAAGATTAGAAATTCTAGTTGTAAAGATGATATCTCAGGGATTTTTAAAATTTTAGTTTATGTGTTACAGAAGCGAGCACTGGATTTTATTAGGTAAATTTTTTTGGAGGTAGCCAAAGATTCACAGTAAGCTATCTAAAATTTTTATTCTCATGATCTAGTTGACCTGTACTCCATAGCTGCTTTATCCTGAAGAATAACTGGAACTAAAAATCCTAGATATGTTATCACTTTATTAAATAAAAGCAAGGTGATGAATGCTCAATGGCATGAAGAGTTAAAAACCAATCAACTTTATAATACTATGTCTAGTAATCTGCTGTATAAAAAAAGATCAACAGACCAAAAAAAAAAAAAAAAATCACATGACTCATCAACAAAGATATTGATACAATTAAAAACCCTGCCCTGGCCAGTTTGGCTCAGCGGTTAGAGCATCGGCCTATGGTCCAAAGAGACCCGGGTTCGGTTCTCGCTAAGGGCATGTACCTCGACTGCAGTTTGTCCCCGGCCCTGGTTGGGTTGTGTGGGTGGCAATCACTGGATGTGTCCCTTTCACGTCAATGTCTGTCTCTCTCTCTCTCTCTCCCTCCTACTCTTTCTGAACAAAAAATGGAAAAATGTCCTCAGGTGAGGATAAAAAAACAAAAACCCTGGTCTAAACATCCATATTTCATATTAGTGACTAGCATGGAATAAGCCAGAACACACAAGGAACTCAAGGCATGATTTCTGAATTACAGAATTAAGGATTACATGGTTAAGGATCTAATCAAGAACAAAGTGGAATCTAAACTAAATACCAAGACTGACATTAATTTCTCTGTTAGAGCTCAAAATTCTTTCAAGTAGAAAACAACTTTGAATCACTTAATGTGATTGTGCTCTATGTTCCCAATGGTTTAAATATAAAATATAAAATGTTTCTCACCTAATGCCACCTGGAGATTGATGTTCTTCCGCAACTTCTGAAAAAAATAAAGACAAAACATTATCTATGTAGATGTATTCTCTCCCTGCAGCTAAGAAACCAAATTACTACCTAAGGTAATCATACAATAGCAGATTATCTGCAAATTGTCAAAAAAAGAACCCTTCCTATATCGCCACACCTACCCCCTGAAAGTTAAACTGTTTTGGTAAATGTTCAACATTACATTTAAAAGCAACAGGCAGCCCTGGCCAGTTTGGCTCAGCGGTTAGAGCGTCGGCCTGTGGTCCAGAGACCTGGATTCGGTTTCCGCTAGGGGCACGTACCTCAGTTGCAGTTTGTCCCCGGCCCTGGTTGGGTCGTGTAGGTGGCAACCACTTGATGTGTCCCTTTCACATCGATGTTTCTCTCTCTCTCTCTGTCTCTCTCTTCCTCCCACTCTAGCTGAACAAAAAATGAAAAAAATATCCTCGGGTGAGGATAAACAAAATTAAATAAATAAATAAATAAAAAAGCAGCAACAGGCAAACTGGTTCTTAAATAACCACCCTCTGCTTGCACCATACCATAATCAAGCTGATCTGTATTTGGTTCTGACTTGCAAATGAGCTGCAATGAACCAGTCTTGGACCTAGAGCTTCGGGTGTTCTCTGTGTCACGATGCCGAGAGATAGATGTCCTGCTGCTACTGCGCCAGCCCCGGCTAGGCCGAGTTGTAGTGATGGAAACTTCCTGAGGGAGGGTAGAATCATCTTCTTCCTCTTTCTCTTCCTTGGGATCTAAATGAAAACATATACCATTCTTTTTAAGCTTACAGTTAACCAAACACCATCCTTGTATATCTACTATTGTAAATTCAGTTAAGGAAAAGATAAAAAAAATTTTTTTAGAGAAAAAAAACCCTCAGCTTTTACAACAAATAGAAACAAAATGAGAGAAAAATCAGTTAAAGCTTATCCTATTGTCATCTCTCTAAAGAAAAAACTTCATATTGCAAAGTAGTAATTTTATATGGCTTTATCTACTAAAAAGTAGAATGCTAAGAGGAGTATACAAAATATACCAAAGTAATTCAATTCATGGAATTCTAACCTTTAGATTCTAAGACAAAAGAACCTAAATTAAGTGAGTGGTCCCAGAAAGGTAAATGAAGTAGAGACATTAAATAGAAAGAATCAGCCCTGGCCGGTTTGGGTCAGTGGTTAGAGCGTCAGCCCGCGGACCAAAGAGTCGTGGGTTCGATTTCCAGTCAAGTGCACATACCTGGGTTGCAGGTTCGATCCCCTGCACCAGTAGGTGCTGTGTGAGAGACAATGTGTCTTTCTCATATCAATGTTTCTCTCTCTCTCTCCCCACCCTTCTCTGTCGCACTCTATCTAAAACTCAATAAAAAAATATCCTCTAGTGAGGATTAAAAAAAAAAAATAGGTCTAGATGTTTTAACAACCAAGAAATTCAATAGGAATGCTTCCCTTGACTCTTGCTGCTCTATATTTTCCCCATACTTTATTTTATTATTATTATTATTAGTAGTAGTAGTATTTTGGTACTTGCCTCTAGAGGTGCCTCTCGGGTCCGCAGGCTGACGCTCAACCACTGAGCCAAACTAGCCATGGCTAGGCATTATTATATTTTAAAATAAGTTTTTATTGAATTTTTTAGAGAGAGAAGGAGAGAGATGGAAATATCGACTAGCTGTCTCCTGCACGCCCCCTACTGGGGATTGAGACCGAAACTCAGGTAGGTACCCTGATTGGGAATCGAACAGGGACCTCTCAGTCCATGGGACAACACTCAATCCACTGAGCCACACAGGCCAGGTGTGTTTTCCCTATACTTTAAAGGAGGAAGAATAAGGTGAGATAGAGTCATCCTATCTGCACAATAGATAATAAAAAGGTAGATTTAGAAATTGGCTTTCAAACCTAGAGTAGCTTATTATTTGTATCTACATAAGTTACTATATTATAAGTTAGCTTATTTTGACTCTGGAAGATTCCTTTAATTATCTCAAAATAGAAAAGGCCTTTCTAAGAATAGCACAAAACCTCACGTCTTAAGACTAATACACCTGACTATATAAACATAAAATAATATGCTTTCAAACATACAAACAATAACAAAGCTCAATATTGTATACTCATAACCAGAGAAACTCAAATGAAAATGATAGTTTGATACCACTGTTCCCTTATCATATTGGCAATGATCCAAATGTTTGACCACACTGTAGGAAAACAGGCACTCTCATACAGATGACGGCATGTGCTTCGGCAAAACCTCTATGAAGGACAATTTAGCAATATCGATCAAAATTAATAATGCACAAACCTTTTCACATTAATTTCAACTACTAGAAATTTATCCTATAAAACTACAATCACACTTATTGGACTTCCGATCAAGATGGCGGCGTGGGTAAATGAGGCATCGCGTCCTTCCACAACCACATACAGAACAACCATCATTCAAAACCACCTGAAATCAAGTTGAATGGAAGTCCTACAACACGAAATTAAAGAAGCCGCCATATCGAGACTGGTAGGAGGGGTGGAGGTGCAACAGGCTGGTCCCACACCCACGTGTGGTAGATAAAAATCAGGAGGATTTCTCGGCTGGGAAGGTCCTCCCTGAGCACTGAGAGGTCCCCATCCCACACCAGGCACCCAGCTCAGGGTTTCAGTGCCAGGAAGAGAAGTCCCCGTAACTTCTGGCTGGAAAAACCAGCGGGAACTGAGGCTGAGGGAGGCTCAGGTGGCTGGAGCCCCAGGCAGCTCCTCCTAAAGGGCCCGTGCACAGACCTACTCACTCGGACTTGCACCCTCCAGGCTCCAGCGTGGGGAAGGGAGCTTAAAAGGCACCAGAGACATATGGGGAAGAACTGAGTTTCTTGGCATTGGAAGGAGGGCTGGAGAGGTGACCTTCTCCTGGACAGACGTGCTATCAGAGGTCTTTGTTCCTTTGGTGAGCCCTTTCCTGGGGCGGCAGATAGCCGCCATATCTGGGACTCCAGCAACCCGGCTCGTACTGGTTGCCCCGCCCTGGTGATTCCCTGAGACCCTGTCCTACCCAACTTTCAGGCCCATCCAAGCTCTTGCCAGTTGCTTAACCATAGGATTGGCCTGTTTTGGATCCTGCTTCAAGTTTTCCTAAATTCTTTCAAACGAGCAACATCTGTTCTCAGCTAGCCCCATACTGCTCGTTAAATACTACACAGAAACAAACACAGGGAGGCAGCCAAAATGAGGAGACAAAGAAACAGGTCCCAAATGAAAGAACAGGAAAAAACCCCAAGAAAAGAACTAAGCAAAATGGAGATAAGCAACCTAACAGATGCTGAGTTCAAAATACTGCTTATAACAATGCTCAACGAACTTAGTGAGGGCCTCAAGAGCATTAAAAAGGACCAGTCAGAAATGAAGGATGCAGTCAGAAATGAAGGAGGCACTAACTGAAATAAAGAATAATTTATACAGATTCAATAGTAGAGTAGGTAAAGCCAAGAAGCAAACCATCGATTTGGAATATAAGGAAGCAAAAAACATTCACTCAGAACAGCAAAAAGAAAAAAGAATCCAAAAAAAAAAAAGTGAGGATAGTGTAAGGAGCCTCTGGGACAATTTCAAGCGTACCAACATTCGCATCTTGGGGGTGCCAGAAGGAGAAGAGAGAGAACAAGAAATCGAAAACCTCTTTGAAACAATAATGGCAGAAAACTTCCCTAACTTGGTGAAGGAAACAGACATACAAGTCCAGGAAGCACAGAGAGTCCCAAACAAGGTGAACCCCAAGAGGCCCACACCAAGTCACATCATCATAAAAATGCAAAAGGTTCAAGACAAAGAGAGAATCTTAAAAGCAGCAAGAGAAAGGCAGCTAGTTACCTACAAGGGAATTCCCATAAGACTGTCAGCTGATTTCTCAAAAGAAACTTTGCAGGCCAGAGGGGAGTGGCAAGAAATATTCAGAGTGATGAAAAGCAAGAACCTACAACCAAGATTACTCTATCCTGCAAAGCTGTCATTTATAATCAATGGCCATATAAAGAGTTTCCCAGATAAGAAAAAATTAAAGGAGTTCATCGCCACCAAACCATTATTATATGAAATGTTGAAGGGTCTTTTTGAAGAAAAAGATAAAAAATATGAACAAAATGGCAATGAATACATATCTATCAACAATTGAATCTACAAACAAAATGAACAGGCAGAACAGAAGCATTATCACAGATACAGAGAACATTTTGTTGGTTGCCAGATGGGAGGGGCTTTTGGGGAATGGGTAAAAAAGGTGAAGGGATTAAGAAGTACAAATTGGCTGTTAGACTGACAAACCTCAAAGGGAAGGGGGTTGAGGGGTGGGAAGAAATAAACCAAAGATCTTATATGCATATATGCATAACCAATGGACACAGACAACAGTGTGGGGAAAGGCAGGAGGGTGGTTGGAGTGGGCAGGAGGGTGTTAATGGGGGGAAAATGAAGAACATCTCTAATACATTCAATAATAAAGATAAACTTAAAAATATAAAAATAAAAAAAATAAAACTACAATCACACTTATAAAATGACTTATATATAGAGTAAATTGTCCTAAAACTGTTTTTGGTAGTACAAGGGTAGAGAACTAAATTATCAGGAGGGAATTAGTTATATCAATTTTGATATATCTAGCCAATAAGTAATAGTATAGAATCAACTCCATGACACTTTATTATGCAAAAAATTCATATCCATGTAATACACAAATATATGTATATTTGCCTGTTATATATACATACATGTGTATATATGCATGTAATATATATAAAAGGTATGTTTCTTATAGATGATGATAATTCTGGAGGGATATACAAGAAATTAACAAACATTCATCACTTACAGTGAAGGTCCAAAAATACATCTAGCAATTCCACCTCTAAATATCTACACCCTAGGAAAATAAACTAATACATGGAGGCTCACTGCAGCATGTTTTTAATAGGTAATGAGTAGAAACAACCTAACCTTCCATCAAGAATAAAGTGTATAAATAAACTATGCTTTATTACCAAGATAAAATATACAGTAAAACCTGTATAAAAAAACAAACCAAGCCCTGGCCAGTTTGGCTCAGCGGTTAGAGCGTCGGCCTGCGGTCCTGAGAGGCCCGGGTTCGGTTCCCGCTAAGGGCACGTACTTCGGTTGCGGTTTGTCCCCGGCCCTGGTTGGTCGTGCGGGTGGCAGTCACTCGATGTGTCCCTTCACGTCAATGTTTCTCTCTCTCTCTCCCTTCCTCTCTCTCCCTCCCACTCTATCTGTACAAAAAATGGAAAAATATCCTCGGGTGAGGATAAAAAAAAACCAAACAAAAAATGACATGAAATTATTGGTGAAAACACTGTTAAATGGAAAAAATAAGACACAAAACTGTCTATCTAGGTAACATTTTTTTAAAAGATCTGTAAAATACAGTTTCCTCCACTGTGGAACACGGTGGTGGGCTATTTCAGCTTTAACTATACCGTTTGAAAGTTTTATGAGACTATATTGAGGTGATAGAATACAATTAATTTAAAATAATGTAAAAGTGAATAGCAGTGGGAACTTCTAAAAATCTGACATAATTATTAAATCAGATGCACATTTCCATTCAGTATTCCTTTCCACTCATTACTGCCTTTCTCACCCTTCTCCTATCTGAATTACTTTAAGTATCAAAATAACAATAATAGAAGGCTAGAGTTGAAAATATCCTAAAGATTATCTAGTTCTAAGTACAATCCAATGCGTTTTACTCA